TAAAACATACGGAATTTTGATATATAATCATTAATTACGTATACAAACCTTATAAAAAACGTATCATTTCCTTATTTTGATTTCTTATAGGGATATAATCTATACATTTTCGTGTTTTGGTATTTATTTTATATTCTAGCTATTCCTTTTAACCTTTCTTGTTATTCATCATTTTTACCACCATATAATCTAACTATCACCCACCATTTAATCTAACTACTACCATATGATCTGAATACCACGCCTTTCTTCTTATTTTTAAGTTATTTACATATTAAATTCTATAATATGGGTTGTTAGTTATCCGTGGCTATTTGGATACCTAGTTTTATGTCAAGGGTGCTAGCTATCTGTGCCTAGTTGAATACTTGATTCTATATTGAGACGCTTATCCTTTACGCCTATTTGGTTGCCTTTTAAAATACTGAAATGGTGTAAAAAAAGAGGTTTTAGGTAACGCAGTGTATTTGCGATTAATTTTGGCCTACTCTATAGTATAACTCTGGTCAATCTTTTGGACATGTAATTTGAGAATCCAATTTGGTATCATAATAGTGTTATGATAGCATTCTGGTAGTGTTATAGAACTTCCTGAAACTGTTATAGAACTGGCGGGGTACTTGAAAGGTTCTATTAGTTTGTCAGTTTTATGTCAGCTTGGGTGACAAATTATTATATCTAAAGTTCTGGCCAAATTTATATAATAGTGCTGGTCAAAATTAAGCGAATTTATATTGCGTCTTACTGTGTTATATTTACGTGATACTATTCTGGTGATAGAACACTCTCACATAGTTACGGGCTAGTGATGAAAAGTTCTAGGAATGTTTTAAAAATTTAATATATATGTATTTGTATCACATATTTTTTGTATTCAGAATTGGAGATGCAATATGTATTATTTTGGTTCAGCCCATTTGATTGCTAGAAGTGCATCATCTTGCAATCCAACTATTGCCTATTTGTTACCAGTATATTGGTAGGATATTATAATCACTTCTGAGGCCTGATCATGGTTTAATCTAGGTTGAGGCGATAAGTATGCTATTTTTTTACTGTCCTTATAAAAATTCTCTATCCATATAAAAAAAATTCTTGAGAATGCTTTTAGGGATAATCTTGATATCATTTTTAGGCTTCTTAGCTTGTTTTATTGAATTCTTTATTATCTGTTCTTAAGAACCCTATCAACCCTAAGAAATTTAAAGTTTTAGGAAAAAAATCAAAATTTTTCAATGGTATATCACTTGGATAAATATAGTCATATATCATATATATAAAAAAAATAAAAAGGTAAAGAGTTTGAAAATTCATAGGGCTTCGAGGACTTCTAAAGACAAGTAGTAAATTGCTTTCCTAAAGTTCTAAAATCGTTAAAGAAGATACTTCTAGCGTTCTTGTTAAATTTTTTATGCCGTCTCTATAAATTTTTCATGAGGCAAAATTTTTGATAAATTATTAGGACTAACTTATAGCATTATGCATTTTCATTCTATTGAGAGCCTGACTCATTGCCTTTAGGGTCTGACAGTTCTGAAACATCTTATCCAACTTTTTCTGATGATAATATGCGTTTGAGTGATACTTTTTTATATGCTATTCACAAAATCTATATTCAGAAGCCATCGGTCTTTCACATCCATCTTGTTTGCATAGAGGTCGCTAGTGTCTTTTCCAGTAAATATAACACCCTTCTGGTTTTCTACTTCCCTGCCCACAAACCTTCCTTTATTAGAACAATACTGGCAAATGTATTTACCGCCTATTGATATTATTCTTAGATAAATAACACTTTGATATCTATAATTATTTATTTTTATTTTAAACTTTTTTGTTGGGGTATTATATTGAAACATTATACTAGATAATATATCCAAAAATTTTTACTATGACACAATCTGAGCTTTCAGAGTTCCTTGATGCCTCTACCCCACTTTTTCACCTAGAGGCTGAAAAAGATAAAATGAAAGGCCAACTGATTCGCTATTCTGGTAAAAAAACTTGTCGGATATCCAAACACTGGATGATATGGTTGTAGAAAATAATGAAAGGTTATCTTCAATCCTCATCTAAACAACAAGATATTCCATTCATAACCATTGATAATGAAGGATTAACAGAAAAGATAAAAGGAAAGTACCGCTATGTATTATGTCTTTATGATCGTCTTATTAATGGCCAAAAGGCACTGGTAACTCTTAAAAACATTCAGGTATTCTTTAACATTCTTGTGCCGGATAACAAATCTCCTGATGAATGTGAAACAAAAATAAGGGATATTTTATTTGGTAGTATGAAGACATTTTCAGTAGAGCATATTAAGACATTTCCTTTTCATAGCTATCATATGAAGAAAAAAGTCATATTTGCAAATTTATATAAACAGTACTGGCAGTAGAAAAACTGTTATTAAAGCTATTCAAGATAATAACTTCAAAACTGCATCAGATGATTTATACTCATTTCACTATAAGGTAACCTAAGAGAATGGTATTCAACTCTTTGGATGATCTACAATAAACAAATATATTTATAAACAAGGTAAAGGGATCAGCCCACTCTGTCCATATGAATTTTATGTATCTATAAAAGATTTCTGTTTGCTAAAGAATTTTATAATAATAAGTGATCGATTTCCTATTTCAGCTCTCTTACGAGATCATACTCTTGTTCTCACATGGGATATAGAGACCCAATCACGAGAGTTGGGTGAATTTGCCAAAGTCCTTGATATGAATCATAATGTCTTTATGATCGGCATGATATTGCATTAGAAAGATAATCCAAAACCATTAAAGCAAATATGTCTTGTCGATGTTGAAACAAAACCAGATCTAGGATGCATCACAATCATATGTGGAAACTAAGAAAATCTGCTAAAAGCATTCGTTCTCTGCTAGAGAGCATTTATTCCTGACATCCAAGTTGGATTTAATGATTCAGACTATAATTGGCATTTTATTATGAAAAGAGCCTATCACCTTAACATACTCAAATGGATGTGAAAGCGAATGATAGGAAAGTTTGAAATAAAGGAAGAAATTATAAAATGGAAATATTGTGGAAAAATAGAAGCAAAATCTGAAAATGATTTCATGAAAAGTATCCTGTTAAGGTTCTCGAAGAAGGTGAAGAGGATCCAAAGGAGAAAGAATATATGAGTGGTTCAATTAAGATCAAAATTAGTGCAGAAGATGATTTTATTTCTAGCTTTCTTAAACTGCCAGGTTGCATACCAATTGACGTCTGAGTGTGTCTCAAAAAATGTTTCCTCGTTCTAAAGTTGAAAAGAAAGGTTCACTTAAATTTTTCTTACAAAAGTATGGTCTTAACAGTAAAGCTGACATGCCATATGATAAAATGTGGAAAATCTATTTAGAGGTGAAAAAAAACCCTCCTCAACAACTTCGAAAAATATGCGTGAAATAGCACATTACTGTATTATAGATGCATTGCGCTATCAAGAGCTTTTGGTAAACTAAAGTATAATAAATGATTATAGAGAAGTTGCCTCTATAACTTATGTTTCTCTTTATGACACACATTATCGCGCAAATGAAATGAAGGTACAGAATCTTCTCAGAGCATATGCTGTCAAATGAGATATGGTAATAAGTACAAGGGTTCCTGAAAACATAGAAAAAGGAAAATATCCTGATGCGTACGTATTTTCACCTAAAAAAGGGATTGTAAGTAGAAGACCTGTAACGGGATTGGATTTTGCTTCATTATATTCCAGTATTATCATGGCACATAACCTCTTTTCAGAAAAATTTATATTTGATCCAAAGGATATCGATATTGTGCAAAATAATGGAAATAACTTGCATAAGATTGAGTTTTATTTAATAATCATATCGTCTAATCTTGATACGTCTACTATGATAACTAACTGAAAAAGAAAGACCTATATCCGGCTGTATTAGAGGATTTATTTAATAAGAGGTTGGATCTTAAAGCACTTCTAGCCCCACTAGGAAAGAAAAAGCAACATCTTGGGAAGATGATAAGTTCAGCTAAAGAAAGTGGTAAAATGATACCAGAAAGATTAAATTTAGAATATTCATCCGTATGCTTCGATTACGATCATTGGAATTCAAAGCAAAAAGCTTTAAAGGTATATATGAACACTTTTTATGGAAGCGGAAAACTCACTATCTAAAATCTTTCTTCATGAATTAGCCTGTGGAACTACTACGGCGGGAAAATACAACCTTAATCTGGCTGCTGAATTTATAACAAAGAAAGGGTTTAGGATAAAATATGAGAATACCGATTCTCTGTATCTCACCTGCTCAGATAGTTATTACGAAAAATGCGATGAAGCCTTCTCCAGAGAAGAACTTTCCAAAGAAGTGTATTGGACTGAAATGGTCAAAATTATTATGGATATGATGAGAAAGTTATGCGATTAAGTAAATGCTTATCTTAGGATAAAAAATGGCACATCTCATCTAAAGATGGCATATGAAGAGGTATTATTTCCCATCTGCTTTACTGGTAAAAAGAAGTACTTTGGACTTGGGTATGAAGATGTAGTAAATTTTAAACTGAAAAATCTTTTCATAAAAGAGATAGATATCATAAAGCAAGGTAAATTCCAGCTTCTCAAATTCATCAGAAAGAAAATAATGAGAGAGGCTATAGATATAAATAATATGTGTTCAATTCACAAAATTGTTAAATATACTCTTAGAGAAGCAGGAAATAAGAAATGGGATTTTAATGAATTTATTGTGATGAGAACATGGAGGCCTAAGAAAGAAAATCTCTGCAACAATCGCTTTATGAAATATATGAGAGAGAGAAATGAAATGATTTCCAATCCTGGTGAACAGTTTAGCTATATCATTGTGAAGGGTCCCTGTCTTCATGATGAGAAAGGCAGGTTAATACTATTTAGAGTTGGGGATTATATGGAATATCTGAACATAGCAAAAGAGCAAAACATGAAAATAAATATCAATTATTATTTAGGCACTATAGTTATAATGTGTGGATGCTTTATCAATGATCGAAATCAAAAAAAATTGGACATATGATAAATCATCTATCAATTGTCTGTCAATCAGATATAATCATCAATCAGCCAAAAATCAACCTAAATCAACCTGTCTGATTTATAGTCGATTGGAATTAAGCCAAAATTTCAATTTTGATTGGTTCAATCAGATAATATAAAAATCATCTGATTGGAAACTTCGTCCCAAAGGAATGATACATTATCGTTCATTAAGAACAATTTAAAAAATTATCCTAAAGGGATGATACATTATTGTTCATTAAGAACAATATAAAAAATCGTCCTAAAGAAATGATACATTATTATTCTTATTAAATGATTTAAAAAATTATCCCAAAGGAATGATATATCATCATTTATTAAGAACGATTTAAAAAATTGTTCTAAAGGGACGATAAATCATTGTTCATTTAGAACAATCAAAAAAATCATCCTTTTAGGACAATAACACATCATTTTTATTGAATGATAAAAAAAATGTCCTTTTAGGATGATAGATCATCGTTCTTATTGAACGATCAAAAAATTGTCCTAAAGGAACAATACATCATCATTCATTAAGAATGATTTAAAAAATCATCCCAAAGAGACGATACATCATCATTCATTAAGAATGATTAAAAAATCGTTCCAAAGAGACAATGAATCATCGTTCTTATTGAATGATTTAAAAAATTGTCCTAAAGAAACAATAAATCATCATTTATTAAGAACGATTTAAAAAATTGTTCTAAAGAAACAATAGATCATCATTCATTAAGAACAATTTAAAAATCATCCTAAAGAAACAATATATGGGGCCTTTGCAATAGAAAGGGGGGAAACTGCCGGAAAAATCAAAAATGAGTTAATGCTAAATTTGAACATATTTCAGCCTAAAAATCATATTTGGCATATAAAAGTAAAATTAACTTTTCCCGGCAGTTTCCCCCCTTTCTATTGCAAAGACCTCATATTATTATTCATTATAAATACGATTAAAAAATCGTTTCAAAGGGACGATGAATCATTATTCTTATTAAATGATTTAAAAAATCGTCCCAAAGGAATGATAGATTTATCGTTTCAATAAGAATGATTAAAAATCATTCCAAAGGGACGATACATCATCGTTCATTAAGAATAATTAAAAAATCATCCCAAAGGAATAATAGATCATCGTTCTTATTGAATGATTTAAAAAATCATTCCAAAGGGACAATACATTATCATTTCTTTTGGAACAATTGTCGTTCGATTTGAATGATAAAAAATTGTTCCTTTTAGAACGATGATTGTTTGATTTGAACAATTAAAAAATCGTTCCTATTAGAATGATAAAAAATCATTTCTTTTGGAATGATGATCATTCGATTTGAATGATAAAAATTATTCCTTTTGGAATGATGATCATTCATTAAGAACGATTCAATATCATTCTTTTTGGAATGATTATCATTTATTTAGAACAATTATCATTCATTAAGAATGATTCAATATTGTTCCTTTTGAAACGATAATCATTCGATTTGAACGATTTAATATCATTCCAATCGGATGGTGCAAAATCGTTTAATTGGAATGATCAAACTATCGTCCCTTTAAGACGATACACTATCGTTCAAATCAACATCATCATTCTAATCAGATGATCTGATTGAAATGATCAAATCATCGTCTCCTAAGAGATAATACAAATCATTCAATAGAAATGATGTTTCAATTAGACAATACAAAAATCATCCAATTGGCTAAAAAACTTTCAGATTAATTCGAAAAAAAATTTTCCTTTTTTTAACCCTTTTCCTTTCTTTTTCTGTATTTTTTTTCTTATCTTGAAAATTTTTACCATTTTTTTTAGGAAAATTTTCATTTCAGAAATATGATAAATATTTTTTCTTGTTTTTTTTTTAGGAAAATTTTTATTTTAAAAATAAGTAAATCAGAAATAAGTTTTTGGGTGAATTTTCTTTTCTTTTTCTTGTTTTTATAGAAAAATTCTCAGATAAGTAAATCAGAAGCAAGTTTTGGGCAGATTTTTTGTTCTAGATTTCTTGTCTTTTTAAAAAATTTCTCATTTTTAAAAATAAGAAATGTAAATCAGAAATGACTTTAGGTAGATTTTTTCTTCTTTTTCATTTTTTAGGAAAATTAGAAAATTATTATCTTGGAATTAAGGTAAGCAAATTGTTAGTGACTTTTTGAGTGAAAATTTATCATTTTCTTTACTTTTTCTTATTTTTTTAGGGAATTTCTTAAGATAAACAAATCGTTGGTGACTTTTTGGGTGAAAATTTACCATTTTCTTTTACTTTTTACTCATTTTTTTAGGAAATTTCACATTTTGAAATTAAGGTAAGCAAATTGTTAGTGTGAAAATTTACTATTTTTCTTTCTTTTTTCTTATATTTTTTAGGAAATTTTTCTTCTTGGAATTAAGGTAAGCAAATCGTTGAAGACTTTTTGGATGAAAATTTACTATTTCCTTTTTTTCTTTTTTTTTTTTAGGAAATTTTTTAAGGTAAGCAAATTGTTGGTGACTTTTTGAGTGAAAATTTACCATTTTCCTTTCTTTTTCTTATTTTTTTTTAGGAAATTCTACATTTTAAAATTAAGGTAAACAAATCGTTAGTGTGAAAATTTACTATTTTCCTTTTTTTCTTTTTTTTTTTTTAGGAAATTTTTTAAGGTAAGCAAATTGTTGGTGACTTTTTGGGTGAAAATTTACCATTTTCCTTTCTTTTTCTTATTTTTTTTTAGGAAATTTTACATTTTGAATTAAGGTAAGCAAATCGTTAGTGTGAAAATTTACCATTTTCCTTTTTTCTTTTTTTTTTTTTTAGGAAATTTTTTAAGGTTTGCAAATTGTTGGTGACTTTTTGGATGAAAATTTACCATTTTCCTTTCTTTTTCTTATTTTTTTTTAGGAAATTTTACATTTTGAAATTAAGGTAAGCAAATCGTTAATGACTTTTTGGGAAATTTCACATCTTGGTAAGTAAATCGAAGGTGACTTTTGTTTGGATTTTTTAACCTTTTTCTTTATTTTTCTTTATATTCTTTAGGAATACACTATAATAAGTCAATCAAAGATAGTTTTAAGAAGGAATTTTTAACTTATTCCTTTATTTTACTTTATTTTTTTATAAATAAATTTTATATAGGTCAATTGAAGTAGACTTTTGAAGTGGATTTTTAATTATTCTTTATTATTCTTAAAAAAATCACAATAATTATGTAAAAATTATAAAATTATTAAATTATAAAATTAATAAAATTTAAATAAATATAAATTAGTTATTTTTTGCTTGGCTGATTTTAGGCTGATTTAGGTTGATTAATGATCAAATTTAGGTAATTTTTAGGCTAATTTTAGATAGCCGATTGATGACCGATTGATATTTCTGATTGACTCATATTGTGTCAATTGGAATTAATACAAATCAGCCCTAAATCTGCCATAAATCATCCATCAATCATCTATTTAATTTTAGCCAATTTGTACCCATTTCGACTAGTGAAAGACATGTTTGAAGATAATAATACTGATTTTTCAATTTGATATGAATTCTTTTCAATGTGCCTATCAATTTTCAACTATTTTGAATGAGACTAATTGAAACTAATAATATAGACAATATTATATTAGAATTAGATAGTAATTTTGATGATGAATATGTGAGTTAGGATTTAAAATAGAGAAAGAGAGTAATACAAATCACTATCAAATATAATTATAAACCAATCTTCAAATTTAAATACTTTTATTTTTTAACCTATTTCTATTAATAATTCACAATATTCTTTCAACATGTTTTCTAATCCCAATAATTCTTTGATCAAAATATTAATACTTAAATAATACTTTATATGATATTCAATTAATTTCTTGGGAACAATTACAATCTAATTCCAATGCAGAAATTTGATCTTTTCCTAATAATACACAAATTATTCATTCTCCTTCAGATCTAATTAAAAATCTCTGTCTAACAAAATATATTAAGAGAATAACTCATGTTTAAGAATTACTATTTTTAGAACCACTAATAAATAATACAAGTGAAGAAAATATTATTAATGCTATTCAACAATTGAATAATTGAAATATAACAAATAATTACTCTAAAAATGTATGGGATAAACAACATATAATAAAGTGAGTAAAAACGTGAACCTATAAGAAATGCTTGAAAAAGGATAAACAAGAACAAGACAATTGAGTCTAAAAATATATATATATATAAGCTTAAATAAAATTTTATCATCTTCAATAAAGGAAATTTACATTTTTAACCATTTCTTAACAATATACATATAAACTTTAGACAAAAATTAATAATAATATAAACATATTAATGCTTAACTTTTTATGTAAAAAACTTTTGAAAAGAATAAATATTGGCAGAAGAATTTAAGTTTAAAGGTCAAAAAATTATATAAAAGCTTTGTATATTAAAATATTTAAGATTGCTAATTTTCAATACAAGATTTTTAATTAGTAATTGATACTGTGTTAGAAATGTTCAGTAAAAGATATCACAAAATTACATAACTTATAACATACTTCAATTATGCTAATTATAATATTATAAATTTTTATAAATATAATAATTGTGATAACTCTAGTTATTATTACACTTATAAAAATTCATTAATTATATTAAATATTATTAATTTGGATTATTAGATAGTAAAAAATTTAATCATTAAAAGTATAATTAGGATCAAAGTCATCATAAGTATTTAAATAGTCATTGATATAATTAATATTTATTAGACGAGTAAGATAAAAATCAATATCAGTTTAATTATTATCCATTCGATATATTTCATTTTTAATTAATGATTTTATTAGTAATTAAAAATAGTTTATTTTCTAATTTATTTACAGTTGCTTTCAAAAATAATATACTTAATATTTTAACTTTAAAAGCTTATAATTTATTATCTACCTATGCTAAAAATATGATTTTATATTTTATATTAATCCTCAAATCTTAAAGAATAACTAATAAAAATTTGAAGTGTAATTATTAATTCCAGTTTTATGTAATTTTGTGATTAACATACTTAATAAATTTAAGTGTTAGAAAATTTTTTCAGTAGGCAATCAATACTGTATTTTGATTCTTCTCAATATAGCAATTCTAACAAGCTAAAAATTTGTCAAAATCAGATTAATAGATTAGCAAAAATTTGATCTACAAAATTACTGCATAACATATATAAATATGGTTAGATACCATTTTTTATATAATACAGAATGATCTTGTAGATTGATTATTTGCTAATCTACTGATCTAATTTGAACAAATTTTAGCTTATTGAAATTGCTGCACTGAAGAAATTTGAAATCTAGTGTTAGTTTTTTTAGTAGTCTACTTACTTAAAATGCTTAAATTTTATTAAATAAAATATTTACATTAGTTGCAAAATTGCATAAAATTGGTATTAATAATTGCATTTCAAATTTTTATTGGTTATTCTCTAAGATTTAAGGATTAAAATAAATATAAAATCATATTTTTAGCATAGGTAGATAATGAATTATAAACTTTTAAAGATAAAATATTAGGTGTTGTATTATTTTTGAAAGCGATTATATCTGCTTAATAACACTTTTAAAAATATCAGAGTTTTTAAACTTTCTTTATTTTATTTGTTAATTTTTATTTCAGTTTAATTTTGGTTAGTAAATAAAGCATATATATATAGGCTATTGAATTATTTAAATTAAGAAACTTAGGACATGAGAAATAATATTATTCAGGAGTCATTTTTAACAGTTTTGATATAACTTTTATTATTATTTTTATAATAAATTACCTCAATAATTTAGATACAACTTTATTATTATTTTTATAATAAATGTTATCTTTAATTATTTGGATGTAATTTTTATTATTATTTTTTTATAATAAAAATTATTTCTAATAAGCATAATGAATATATTTATATCACTATATCGATCATTTTACTAATTATATATAACTAAATTATTATATTATATAAAATTAGCTAATTTAGATTTAAAAACTTTGAATATACTCAGATGAATTCTACGAATATATAAATTTGAAATTTTAGATTATATAAAATATGATTTTAAAATAATAAATCAAAAATTAAATATTATGCATAAGTTAACTTTGAGCTGAAATAATTAATTTTATAATTTATATAATAAATTTATTATTTTAGACTTCAAAGATTGAGATAATATCATATATACTTATACAAACTATTTTTGACTATTATATTTAATATTAGGTTATTGAGAATATAATTTAAAATTTTCATAATAAAATTTTAAACAATACAAAAGTTAGCCTTGTATCAATTTTTTGAATAATTATATATAAATTATATAATATTATTTATTAAAATTAATTATTTAGATTTAAAGTTTTAGGCAAAGTTATATATATTTATACAAATTATACTGACTATTTTATTAATATTTTAGATTAAGAAGAATATAATATAAAAGTTTTACAATTAAATTTTAAACAACATAAAAGTTAGCTTTAAACTAAAATATTTAATTATATAAGCTAAATAATAAATTGATTTTAGCACATTTTTTATGTTATTGCAATGAGTTCCTCTAGTAAAAGTTAATTAAGTATGATTTTTCAATCAGAACTAATTAACTTCTATAAAACATTAATTTTATAATGTTTATTATATGTGATAAAATGAAAAATGATCAGTAAATAATTGATAAAATGATATATAATATGTGATAAAATTAAGCATGTCTACTATGCTTTTCTGACAATTCAGATTAAGGTTGTTTATCTAAACTCATTTTGGATTTAGCTAAACGTCTAAACTTTAATTTTGCTAAATTTTTACTAAGTGTTTGATATAGTTTTGCCATTTTTATATGCTTTAATATAGTTTTACCTTTTTCTGAATTTCACAAATTTTTTAATAAGATTTTAATATAATTTAACCAAGTTTTACTTTTACTATTTAAACGTCTGTCTAAACTCTGGATTTCGTCTAGCAACTTTAGTTCAGATATAATTTTTATTATTTTTTTTTATATTAAAGATTGTATCCAAATTATCAAAGATAACTTTATTAGTATTTTTTCTAATAAAAGTTATTTCTGATAATTTAGGTTTGACTTTTATTAGATATTTTTAATAAAAATTGTTTCTGATATTTTGAATATAGTTATTTTCTAATAAAAGATACTATAAAATTCATAGGTACTGAAATTTCAAATCAATTCAAATTTTCAGATTAATTAAATCTGTTCATTTTGGATTTTTTTCAGTTCAGATTGAATTATAATTCAAAGAAATCTGAACTAATTCAAAATTTTTTTGGATTATTTTTTTATAATCTAAACTGAATCTAATTGAAATAATTTTAGATTAATCTGATCTATTCAGAGCTTTAACTTTATTTAGAAAAAATCTATTAAAAGTTTAAATAAAATATATTATAAATAAATAGTTTAACCTTAAACATTTTAATACTCAAAATTATTTAAAATTAGGATAAGAAGATAAGAAGATATCTCTCATAATAATTAAAATTATTAAAGCTAATAAAAAATTATTAATATATATATTTATATTATTAATAATCAATAATAGAAAGAAAAATTAATTTGATTTTTTATTTGCAAAGTATCCAAATATTTATATTTATATTAAATTTGTTATCATCGTTATGCTTTATAAATATATAATTTCAAGTTTTTTAATAAATAATTTTTTTTTATTATTAAACTTTTTATTTATATATTATATACTTTAAATAATATTATTTCATTAAAACAAACTTAGCAAATAATTGTTAGGAAAAATAAAAAATAATTATAACTAAGGTTTTGATAATTCAATATATAAGGTTTTTTATTGGCTTTCTTTAGATAAATTCATAGGTAATTTTTCTTTTTTCTTTAATGCTTTCAGTAATTGAGTAAGTACATATTAATTATTTTGAAATTGTCGAGGTGTCATTTAGTTTTTCCTTTTGGTGTTAGTTCAATTATTAGATTACTATTCAAATGCAGCACCTTAATCCTTTCAACTTTGTTTTTCATCTCAACCACAATACTGCATCCCGTACTTGTCGTTTAATTTTCGATTCTTCTCAATAACTTTTAAAAAAACATCGTTATACTTAATCACGGATGCGATTATAAATTTGAAAGTGACAAACAGGTTGAATTTAGTTAAATAATAATGAAATAAAAAGTTATAATAAAAATTTTCGCTTAAAAAGTGATTAAATTTAATGAAAAATTTTGTTTTTAGAAACGACGTTAAAATAAAAAAAAATTCGAAGAGGAACTGAATGAAATCATACATTTTTTATTGAGTTTGATAGTCCAACTTGTATAAACTAATCGACATTTCTTAAAATTATTTAGGAGTTAGTTTAGAAACAATTAGCTGAAAAAAAAAATTTGCTTGATAATCATACATTTCAGGATCGTTTGATATCTATAGAAATAAAACAAGAGTATAATTCATCTATTTTTAAGAACAATATTAGCTATCCAATACGATCAAGTGCGCATGGAGAGAGACAGTTTTGATCGACCACATTTACTATTTAAATTTGTCTTAGTAGGTCAGATATAGATAAAACTACTCCCTTTCAAAGTTGGGATAAGATAACCATTTGAGGTATACAATTTATTAGATTTGACTAGATTCACTTCCAAAAGTAAACAAACCATTAACAACAAATATTAACATGAAATCAAAAAAAAGAAAAAAGAAAAACAACATAAAAGCACAATTTTTTTTGTTTTTATTAAAAAAAAAAATTTAAAAAAAAAAAAAAATAAATTTTTACCACAAAGAATTTGACATTCTTGAAAAAACATACAATTTAAAAAGTTTACAATATCAATGAAGTTATCAAATTTAAATTCAATATTAATTCTTGCGGTATCATTCCTCAAGTTTTCGTCGGCACAAAAAAATCTTGATGCCTCTCCATTAATCATTTCATCCAATTCAGAATTCGGAGGAGCAATTGAAGGTGCATCGGTGGATGTGAATGGGGAGATGTTCGCAACAAATTTTGACGCAAAGTCATTTGAAATTGGTAGAATTACACCATCACAATCTCTTTATCATACTTCTACATCAATAGGAACATCATTTAATGGTATAAGATTCATTCCATTAACAAAATCGCAAGTTGAACAAGGTATTAAAAGTGTAGCCTTCTTGGCCAATCCAAAAGAAAATCAAATTGCGAAAATCGTTGAAGACAAGGATGGCAATATTGTACAAAGTGTATTCTGTAAAGATAAAACTTTATTCTTGCCAAATGATGTAGCGTTTAGTTATGATAATAGTAAAATTTATATTTCTGCACAAAATTTTACGGACGACACTGTTATAGGTGATGGAGGATTATGGATTTGTGATGGTAAAAGTGGTGAAATAATACAACTTGAATCATTAGGCAGAACAAATGGTGTAGAAGTGTCTCCTAATGAAACAACTTTATACCTTTCGGAGGCTTTTAATAAAGGTGGTAAAGTGATATCCAATAAGATTTGGAAATTTAACATTGATAAAGGTACGGGGAAAGTATCTAATCAAGAACTTTTCGTAGATTTTGAAAAGTTAGATGGTACTCAAGCTGTTGATATTGATGGTATGAGGACTGATATTGATGGGAATTTATATGTTACAAGAAATGGTGAAGGTCAAGTTGTAGTATTTTCCCCTAAAGGTTCAATATTATCTAGAATTAAGTTAAGTTCTATTATCAAAACTACCAATTTGGAATTTGGCGGTAAAGATGGTAAAACTTTGTTCATTGTTGGTGCTTGTAAAGATGACGATACGAAAGGTTGTGTAGATACCATTCAAAATGATATACCTGGTAGAGCGTTTTCTGCTTTAAAATCTCTAAATGGAAAGAGTTAATGAATAGAGTTTACGAATTATCAAATTCAATGAATGATTCTCAAATAGATAACTTGTAATTTTAGGATAAACCAAAGATACTTTTAATAAAATTTTATACATAAACAATGGTTAAACTTTCTGTCGTACCGGCGGCTTTTGCATTTAGCGAAATATAAATATAAATAATATAAATATAAAGGGTATTCTACAAAATAATTGATAAATTTTGAATAATACTAGTATAAATATTGCCTAAAGAAGGAAAGGAAAGGGGGGTTATGGTGAGTTTGCGGATTAGGTGGGATAATATTTGAGGAGGAGTCGGGTACAACGATAATCCTGAAGTCAGGGATGGTAATTAATCTTGATTTGGAAGATGTTGATAAGGATAAACCATTTAATCATAGATGAAGAATAGTGTAACAATTATTATATGTCATGTTTGTTTTTATGTTGTGGTAATTAGAAATAAACAATTTTGAAGTGTTTTTTTGGACTATCACAAAAACAAATGGAACTAAAAATAAATTTAAAGATTAACTTTCTCTTATTCTTTAAGTGATTTCTCGAAATTCGTTTTTCAGGGATTCGTGAAACATTTGTTTTGTGATACAGTGTATTATTATAAAGTTTAGTTAAACCCTATTCCTTTAATTTCTGTTTTACAAACATCTCTTTATACTTACTAATTAAACAGGGCTTAAATTTACTGACCAATTCCGGTTAGTCAAATGGAAATGTAAAAAGAATTCTTTTTTTTTTGGTTTATTATATTTCCTATCATGGGGATAACCGTAAACAATGAAATAAAGTATACATAACATGAGATTTAATTAATTGGATATTTTTTTTAATTGGAAAATTCCAATTTGCATAATAGTTTGTTTATATTTATTTATATATTTGTTCCAAAAGGTTGTCATAAAAAGGAATGGTGGAAATCATGGAAAGTAAACTTATCAAAAAAAATTTTAATGAAATGATTTTATACCTCCGGTGAAAGAAAGGTTAAAATACTGTAACTGCAGAATTGTTGTAATTATTGTATAAAATGGTAACAGTTCAACTCTCTTTCATTATTTATTTTTTGTAAAAGATTAGAAAAAAGAGTGTATATTGAAAAGTAGCATTTGACACTTCATTGGAACTTGGATAATTTTAACAATGATAACAATAATAATATAATATATTAAATTAAATCTTTTTTTTATTTATTTTATCATTTAAGAAAGATGTTTTGTTGTCATTATTTATAAAATTTGTAGAATAAAGAATAAAATAAAATAAAACGAGAAGAAATCTATTTATACAAGCATTCATCTTATGAAAAAATATGTGCATGTGCAATATAAATATTTCAAAATTGTAAAACTGTTGATATTTTTATACCGTAACCTTTATTGGGGATTCCCGATTCCATCTCCTTCAATTTTTTATTGTACGACATGCGTGCAACCCAAAATTACCTTAATTTTTTTATATTTATCTTCTCATCTTTACCTCTTTTTTTTTTATTCAGTTTTCAAATTCCTTTTTTAAAAAAAATATTTTTTGATTTTTTTGATTTTTTTGAAAATTGGAACATACTTTCTTTTTTTTTTAATAAAAAAAAAGATTCCTTTAATATTTAATCATTTCTTAACGGTTTATAAAAATTTTATTTACAACGATGATGTTTCCAAATTTTAATTCATTAATCCTTGCTATATTGTTCCTCACATTTTCATCGGCACAAATAAATCTTTACTCAACTCCTTTCATCGATTCATCAACATCACAATTCGGAAGAAGAATTGAGGGAGCGTCAGTGAATGCTAACGGAGATATGTTCGCAACAAATTTCGGTGCAAACCTATTCGCGATCGGTAGTATCACACCATCACAATCGGTTTATCATACTTCCTCATCACCAAATTCTTTTTACAATAGTATAAGGTTCATCCCATTAACAAAAACACAAGTGTATCAAGGTGTACAAGGGGTTGCATTATTGGCCAATGTAAAAGAGAATCAGATCACGAAAATCGTTGTAGATAAGGATGGCTATGTTGAACAAAGTGCAATCTGTATGGATCAAACTTTATCATTACCAAATGATTTATCGTATAGTTACGAGACCAATAGAATATATATTTCGGGGCAAAATATTACCGCCAATACCGTTAAAGGTGATGGAGGATTATGGGTTTGTGATGGTAAAAGTGGAATTGTGATTGACCACGTATCATTTGGTCGAACGAATGGTATCGAGATTTCTCCTGATGAAAATACTTTATATATTTCAGAAACTTTAAATAAAGATTCCAAAGTGGTATCCAATAAGATTTGGAGATTTAACATTGATAAAAGTACGGGGAAAGTATCTAATCAAGAACTTTTCGTGGATTTTGAAATATTAGATGGTACTCAAGCTATTGATATTGATGGTATGAAAACTGATATTGACGGGAATTTGTATGTCACAAGACATGATGGAAGTCATGTCTCCGTGTTTGATCCTCTAGGGAACCTTTTATCTAAAATTTATTTAAGTTCTATTAAAAAACCTACCAATTTGGAGTTTGGTGGTGATTATGGTAAAACTTTATTCATTGTTGGTGCCTGTATTGATGATGGTACGAAAGGTTGCGTAGAAACCATTCTAAGTGATGTACCTGGTAGAGCGTTTACCGCTTTAAAATCTTTAAATGGGAAATTGATTTAGCAAAGAACCTTACATATTAATAAATTGTAAAATCTTAATGACTTAATAAAGAAAGAAGTAAAGAAACTTTTAATTAGATGATAAATTAATATGATAAAATGCAAATAATCGGGTTGACTTTACACGAAGTTTTTTAGTAAATTTTCCTGTCTGCCGTTCCACCAAGCAATGAACGTAAAGTATAAAATAAAGTCATTTTTAGAATTCAAAGTAAAATGGAAATGTCAAAGGATGATGGAAATGTTTTCTTCGTATGAAAACATCATGGAATAACTAACAGTAATTAAATATTCGATTAATATGACGTGTATATGTGCAAATTGGAGATTTTCCTTTCGAAGTCCGAGTTTCTCCTATCGTATATTAAAAACAACATAATATCGATGACATTGTGTTCAATTACATACAATCAGATTTAACATTGTGATCATTGAAAAAGTGATTTACAAACTTTATTTTATTTTTTTTTTCGCCTAGTATTTCATGACGTAGATTCGACAAATTAAATCGACCTTCGGTGACTAAGTAAAGTTGTTCAGTAGGTATTGAAAAACTTGCATATAAATTTGTAAAGATTGGATAAGTACGTATGGAGTTATTACCGTTTTTGAGGGGTATTACACAAACATGTATAGTATGATATGATTTTGAATGTATGTATAGTATGGTATTTTATTTATACACGTATAGTATTAGAAACCAGAATATTTCTTATGCATGTATGGTTTTACATAAGAAATATTCCATATTTGTGTGATTTCTAATGGTTTCTAATACTATATGTATTAAATAAAAAACTATGCTATACAGGTTTACTATATGGGATGTTTGCTAGAAAAATGGGACTCTGAGCATTTTTTATTAAAATTTTAATTTTTATTGCATTTTAATCTAACATTATCAAAAATTAAAATTTTAATAAAAAATGCTTAAAGCCTTATTTTCCTAGCAAATCTTCTATATATCCTTTTTTGAAACAGTACTAATTCACAATTTTGTTTTTCATTAACCTTTTATAATGTAAATTTTACTATTTTAATTAACAAATTTATTTATTTTTTTCTAATAAAAGAATACAAATAAATAGAATTTATTATAAAAAATTATTTTATTTTAAATTTTTAAATTAAAATACTTTACTATAATAAATATTATATAAAATTTATTATCCAATTATGATAGAGAAATTTAATCACATCACATGGTGATAAGGTCGCTAAATATCTGATATCAATATAATATAAAGTAATACAATAATTAGTACAGTCAAACTTTTATATAATAATACAGCTGTTTTGAGAAAAAATATTGGTATATTAAGTTATTAGTATATTACAAAAATTTTATTGTATTGATATTATTAGGGTTCCTCAAAATCAAATCAAATCAAATATTTAAGCAATTTGAATTTGATTTGATTTTTTCAAATCGAATC